GATTTACATGATTTATATAGTAATTTTAATGGGGGTAGACTTTTAAAGGGGTTTCTGATCGTTTTCCGGGTGTGAAGTATTCGCGCGAATCTTTGTTAACCAACTGTAATCTTAAGTACATTTTAAACAAATGTTTTGTGATTATATTTGTGATTGAAGTTATATTCATATACATTTTATTCATATACATTTCAATTAATCAATCATGTTCGTTGTTGATTTGTCCGACCGATCTAAACAGAAAATGCTCCATGAGCGCACTGTTGCCATAGTCACCTCCTCAAACGCCACTTAGCCAAAGTCCCTTTAATTATTCTATAGTCTTTGACTTAGCCTATTTGGAAGCTTGTGACTTTTATGGTTTGTGAAACGTTGTTTCTGAAATAGGCCTATTTATATGTAAAAAATAATAAAGTTTTGACTTTTTATACATTTTTTTTTTGACTTCCTTTGGGGGCAAGGTTAGGCTTTAATTAGGGGCCCCCAAACTCCCCCATAATCGGGAACTTTTAAAGTGATGGATGTTGGACCCTGTAGCGCAGAGATTCAACAGCGTCGCGTGGAGCTGGTGGAGAACTACAGCGAACACCTGACACGCCTTGTGGACGTACTGTTTAATGTGGGGGCAGTGACCGAGGAGGACCTCAGTCTTATTAGAGGTTCAGCTACTCGAGGTGAGCGAGAATGTATGCGAGTTCTGCTGGATGTGCTACATGGGAGAGGAGAAGAATCATGCAGAGCTTTTCTTTACATACTACCAAGTGTTCAAGATGAGACCGCCAAACTAGGACAGGCCAACAGGCAAGAGCATCTAAAAAAACACAAGGACATATTGGCCAGACAGCATGGCCTGGTGGACTATCTCAGCATCAGAGGACAGACTTTGGGACAGGATGAGACCGGGTGCTGGACTGATATCTCCTTCTCAAGACAAGCTGGTTATGCATCGTCTTCTCAATGCCGACATGAGTCAACAGGAGTTGGGGACGCTTTCAGGACACGAGTGGATGAGATCTGCATTTTCAAGGACGTGTTTGAGAATCTGCTGTGCAGCCCATCGAGTGGTGTGAACATGCTGTCAGGAGTTGCTGGAAGTGGGAAAACCACGGTTGTGAGACGCCTAGTGCGAGAGTGGGCTGCAGAAACCAACTTGTCTAAGATTATCCTGTCTCTGTCCTTTCGTGAGTTGAACCTCATAACTCAAGAGCAGAGCTTGCAGGACCTGCTCTCGGATCACTACATCCATCTGAAACCTTTCCTGCATGAGTTACTGAACTCAAACCCAACCCAGTTTTTACTCCTCTTAGATGGTCTGGATGAGTTCTGCTACCCTCTTAATTTCGAACTCACTCCCAAGTGTTCAGATCCTGAGCGGGTGCAACCTATACAATCCATTGTGGTGAACTTAATCAAAGGAAATCTGCTTCCAGGAGTGTCCATTTTCCTAACTTCCAGACCTCACGCAGTCTCCAAAGTTCCTCCAGTTCTGGTCAGCCAGTTTTACAGTCTGCTCGGTTTCTCTGTAGCTCAGCAGAAGCAGTACTTTGAGCAGAACTGCAGTTCTCCTGAGGCTGCCGATGCAGTGTGGGCTTCGGTGTCGTCCCATAAGCCCCTTCTCCTCATGTGCCACATTCCCGCATTCTGTTGGATCGTGTCTACTGCCTTGCATGATGGCAGCTCCTGCCTTTGTCCTGATTCTGTAAGTGCCAAGCCAGGAGAAAAAGAAGGCATTGGGGAAACCAACCAACCAAACTCTTCATTGGGATCTTCTGAGGAGAACTCAAAACCAATCACAATCTCTGAAATCTACTGCTGCTTTGTTAAATCCGTCTTGCTATTCCATGTGCAAGGGCGTAGCGAGGGCTCCCATCACACCAGGCTTCAGCACGCCCCTCACGTCCTCGGTGAAATGCAGCCTATACTCAAAAGCCTGGGAGCTATGGCCTTCAAAGGCCTCCTGGAGAGACGGTTCATCTTTGAAAGCTCTGATTTGAACTCTTTTAATCTGGACAGCACCAAACTCTCACAGGTGTTCCTCTCTGAGATACTTAAAGAGGATCGAGCGTCTCTCACCTTTGAAAAGGGCTTTCATTTTATCCACACCAGTGTGCAGGAGTTTCTTGCTGCCCTGTACTATGTTCTCCAGTCACTCTCAGGATCAGATCCATTTTCAGGCCTCAAACAGAGCACAGGCCGCTACCTTAAATCTGCATTTAAGCAAATGGCATCAGCTGTTAACAAATTCAGCAGACCGCAGCGTCTCTTCCGCAGACGTATTAAGAAGGCCCTTCGCTGTGGTGAACGACATCAGTCTGGACACATGGATCTTTTCTGCAGGTACCTTTTAAAACTGCTGTCATATTAAATGCATTTCATTAGCAGGTCAATGATGTGACACTCATCTTTTGTTTGTCTTTTTATTCAAAAATACATAAAAAATGCAATTCACATTTACAGAGTATTGAATGCAAATCTTCAATAGAAATATCATATAAATTGTAAAGGTTAGTTCAGGTTGTAAAATTTGGATTTACAATGACTCCATTTCATAACTGACCAGTTATTTCCGCTTATCCAGGTTTGTATGTGGCCTGCTGGTTCCTAGAACACGTCTCATCCTAAATGGATTTTTCCCTGATGGGCCCAAGATGCATCTGCTCCGTTGCCAGCCGTCTCCAGACCCGACTCCACCTTTCCTCCTCCATCTGTTACACTCCCAACTCCAGAGCTCCACCCTCAGCCCGGAGAGGCAGGTCAATGTTTGTCACTGTCTATATGAGGCCCAGGACCCTGGTTTGTCACAGCGGCTACAGAGTTGGATGAAAGTTCTTTCACGGCAGGCTTCAGATCAGTCCGATTCGGTAAACAGGGACTGGAGCGAGCTGGCTTTCCTGTTACAGCTCAGTCCAGATCTGCAGGTTTTAAATTTAGATGCTCAAGGACTCGATGCTCAAGGACTATACCAGCTCCTACCAGTCCTTCCTCTCTTCTCGACACTCAGGTAAATACTGTAACTGTAGGTATAAATGTTCAGAGGCAGATGTGAAACACTCAATGTAATTTTTTTTTTTTTTTTTTTTGTGCTTTGTGATATTCATTGTATGTTCTTTACATAAAGCCTGGGCCAGAATCCTCTTGGTTCAGAGGGAGCATCTGTGTTATCCCTTGTTCTGAGAAACCCAGATTGTCGAATTCATAGGCTGTGGTAAGTGGGGTAAAAAAAGTACAAATTTAATTTAAATATAGTCATTTTTAAAAAACTATAAAGTAAATAAAAATGTCAAATAAAATATTTGAAATAAATTCAAATGACATTGCAAATACTGTATCAAATTAAACAAAAATAATAATTAAATGTATAAATAAATAAATAAAAGTAGTTATGCTACAAGCTCAAATTTATTATGGCTGTGTATGTTCACTCTAGGGTGGTTGCGACAGGACTTGGCTGTGAAGGCCTGAAGATCCTTGTAGAAGCGCTGAAAGAAAATCGTACTGTGACTGATCTCAGGTGAACCGTGGGGGAAAAAAAATTGTTTTGGCTACAAATACAGATATGTTGCACTTGTCTTATGTTTGCAGTATCATTCTTTCATTAGAATGGCCATAAATAAAATTGGAGATGTTGGAGCTGGTTACCTTGCAGAATTGTTGAGGACGAATCGCACACTGACGGATATCAGGTAAAAGAGACTCCGACATTTCAGTCTCTCAAATCATTTACTCATCTTTAAAGTTCAATGTGTTTAAACATTCTGCATCGTATAGACTTCGTGACAACCTAGTGACAGACAAAGGAGCAGAAGTCCTCATGGCTGCCCTGAAAGAGAACACTACATTAGAGTATCTGTGGTAAGAAACATTTAGAGCTGATTTACTATAGTCTATTTCCTCATGATTCTGTAACACAAATATATTTTCTGTTCATCGCAGGTTGTTTGACAACAAGTTTACCAAAGATGGCGTCAAGAAACTGAAAGAATTTGCAAAGACCAGACCAAACCTTGACATTAAAGTTTGCATCTGACCCACAACCAACAAACCAGTGGAGTAGATCCCTAAAACATCATTTGCATTGCCGAACTGTTTCATGACAAACATTTTCATTCACACATTTTATTCACACATTATTTTACATATTGGTACAATTGCTCTGATATAATACTTTTAATACATATTAGACTGTTAAATGAATAGCTCACCCAAAAATGAAAAATTGCTGAAAATGTACTAAACTCTCAGGCCATCCAAGATGTAGATGAGTTTGTTTCTTCATTGGAACAGATTTGGAGAAATTTAGCATTAAATCACTTGCTCACCAATGGATCCTCTGCAGTGAATGGGTGCTGTCAGGATGAGAGCCCAGCTTATAAAAATATCACAATAATCCACACGACTCCAGTCCATCAATTAACATCTTGTGAAACAAAAAGCAGCATGCTTGTAAGAAACAAATCCATCATTACGGTGTGTTTTCACTATAAACAACTATTCCTTTAACCACTCAGGCTACTACTGCCCTCTGCTGGACTTTTAAGGAGCTGTCATTTGTACTACATTTGTGCATTAATCAGCGGTAATATTTTCAGAACTGTCTTAGGATTCATAGACAGTTCTTTCTAAAGACATTGAATTGCATTTATTTATTTTGTGAAAGAACTGCTATCTTTTTATTATAGAATCTTTACAGCTTTATCTTAAACCCACACAATCAGGTTTGACTGAAGCTGTATGTTACATTTTGGGGGCCCTAAAATGGCTTCTTAACACACATCCGTTCTTCTCCTACTTCTTTATAAATTATTGTCTTCTTTCTCTTTTCTGCTATAGTGTCTCAGACCAGTTTGACAACAATAAATGTGCCACAGTCACTGGTTTATTGCCCATTTTTGTGGGTGATTTTACATGCAGAGCTCAGGGCTGCTCTTAGAAGCTTCATTGTGCTTTGTGATATTCATTGTATGTTCTTTACATAAAGCCTGGGCCAGAATCCTCTTGGTTCAGAGGGAGCATCTGTGTTATCCCTTGTTCTGAGAAACCCAGATTGTCGCATTCAGAGGCTGTGGTAAGTGAAATAAATAAATAAAATTTTTATTTAAATAAAGTCATTTAAAATATATAAAGTAAATAAAAATGTCAAATAAAAATAAATAAAATCGACATCACAAATACTATATAAAATAAAATATTTAATAAATACTTCAATGCATAAATAAATAAAAGAAAATAGTCATGCTGCAAGCGCAAATTTATTATGGCTGTGTATGTTCAATATAGGGTGGTTGCGACAGGGCTTGGCTGTGAAGGCCTGAAGATCCTCGTAGAAGCGCTGAAAGAAAATCGTACTGTGACTGATCTCAGGTGAACCGTGGGGGAAAAAAAATTGTTTTGGCTACAAATACAGATATGTTGCACTTGTCTTATGTTTGCAGTATCATTCTTTCATTAGAATGGCCATTAATAAAATTGGAGATGTTGGAGCTGGTTATCTTGCAGAATTGTTGAGGACGAATCGCACACTGACGGATATCAGGTAAAAGAGACTCCGACATTTCAGTCTCTCAAATCATTTACTCATCTTTAAAGTTCAATGTGTTTAAACATTCTGCATCGTATAGACTTCGTGACAACCTAGTGACAGACAAAGGAGCAGAAGTCCTCATGGCTGCCCTGAAAAAGAACACTACATTAGAGTATCTGTGGTAAGAAACATTTTAGAGCTGATTTACTTCAGTTTATTTCCTCATGATTCTGTAGCACAGATGCCACAAATATATTTTCTATTCATCGCAGGTTGTTTGACAACAAGTTTACCAAAGATGGCGTCAAGAAACTGAAAGAATTTGCAAAGACCAGACCAAACCTTGACATTAAAGTTTGCATCTGACCCACAACCAACAAACCAGTGGAGTAGATCCCTAAAACATCATTTGCATTGCCGAACTGTTTCATGACAAACATTTTCATTCACACATTTTATTCATACATTATTTTACATATTGGTACAATTGCTCTGATATAATACTTTTAATACATATTAGACTGTTAAATGAATAGCTCACCCAAAAATGAAAAATTGCTGAAAATGTACTAAACTCTCAGGCCATCCAAGATGTAGATGAGTTTGTTTCTTCATTGGAACAGATTTGGAGAAATTTAGCATTAAATCACTTGCTCACCAATGGATCCTCTGCAGTGAATGGGTGCTGTCAGGATGAGAGCCCAGCTTATAAAAATATCACAATAATCCACACGACTCCAGTCCATCAATTAACATCTTGTGAAACAAAAAGCAGCATGCTTGTAAGAAACAAATCCATCATTACGGTGTGTTTTCACTATAAACAACTATTCCTTTAACCACTCAGGCTACTACTGCCCTCTGCTGGACTTTTAAGGAGCTGTCATTTGTACTACATTTGTGCATTAATCAGCGGTAATATTTTCAGAACTGTCTTAGGATTCATAGACAGTTCTTTCTAAAGACATTGAATTGCATTTATTTATTTTGTGAAAGAACTGCTATCTTTTTATTATAGAATCTTTACAGCTTTATCTTAAACCCACACAATCAGGTTTGACTGAAGCTGTATGTTACATTTTGGGGGCCCTAAAATGGCTTCTTAACACACATCCGTTCTTCTCCTACTTCTTTATAAATTATTGTCTTCTTTCTCTTTTCTGCTATAGTGTCTCAGACCAGTTTGACAACAATAAATGTGCCACAGTCACTGGTTTATTGCCCATTTTTGTGGGTGATTTTACATGCAGAGCTCAGGGCTGCTCTTAGAAGCTTCATAAACAGAAGTAAAAATGTAAGTGTAAAATACACAAAACCAGAGTATTCTTTGGTTAGTAAATGCTTTTATTTTAAAGATACCATATGAAACCATTGCTAAAATCACAGTAGTGTATATTAGAAGCATTTTTAATCATACAGACAGACAGACAGATAGATAGATAGATAGATAGATAGATCTGTGTCAGACTATTTCTTTTTGAAGCATTACACACTTGTCTTTCTGAAAGTTGCATAATATAGGTTCATGCATTGTTATATTAATTGTGATAACATCATGAAATATGAATTGTTATAACAAGTATTATTGCTTAGCAATGCTTACAATGCAAAGTACAAGTGTTGTTATGCAATAATTAAAACAAGATGTACAAATAGATGTTCAATAAACATTATATGGATTCTCCAGATTCCAGTTTGCTTTGGTAATGGAGTCTGTGGTTTGTCATCACTTCAAAGTTCAAACCGTAGTTCGTCAGAAGTATTATTCCATATATTGATGCCTGCTGCCTTGAATGTAAAAGCTTACCATTCATGTACATTCTCACGTCTGTTGTGATAAGTCGCAAACATTGCCTAAGTTTATTGAGAAAGAAAAAAAAACATAAAAAGGTGGAGGAGTTTCAACTGGTTCCGGAGGAATATTTAATATACTTAATCCCTTACAAAATAGCCATGTATATAGCTGCTATGTAGTTGCTCATTTAAACCACCAGATGCCGACGTGATGTTTTGTGACTCATCCCTTGTTCAGTTTAGTGCTTCGAAAGAGTACAAGAAACAACAACGATAAAGAGCTTTGGTCATTTGTTCAATTCCCCTGTATAAATGACCTGTTGTTTTACATGTTCTACTCAGTTAGCTTATTTATACAATGTGAAGTATCTTTGTTATACAGACCACTGATAAGTGCGACTTCAGAAGTTTGAAAAGAGCTTTAAATCTGATACCCAGAGAGCAAAGTGACTGTTCCTTTTTCTTGGGAAAACCATAATGTACATCGAGACATCTGGCGATTTCAATGACGATATTTTACAATATGCTTTAGTACATAACTCAGTCTTCCGGTGTTTTTGCAGTAATATAATTGGTGAATATCAGCTTGGCTACTATTATGAGAAATCATGAAGTATGAGGACGGCTTTGTTTGTTTTGTTTTTTTGTGTATTATAAATATTTAAAAGTCATCAAATGTAATCGAATACTGTAGAATGGTAGCAGGGACCACAACAGCACGCAATCCGGTGTGATATGTAAGTGTTCTTTGCGCTGGAGCGAAATATAATGTGAAATTATTTTTATATATATTCGCCGAGCGGCGCTCTGATTGGCTGGCCTCATCTCTAGCTCAGGAGCCAGCCAATGGGGACGTTGGCTTGTTTGTGTGAAGCAAGCGGTGCAAATATAAAATCGAGAATAAGAGATGTTGGAAAATAAATTGATGTATGAACATAACCCAAAGAGTGAAATCGGCACCAGAGGGTTGTTTATACCCTTTCTACTCTGAAGACAGCCGAAGCGAGGATTTGGTGAAGGAAATAGGTATTCATTTTTATAAGGATGCTCTGTTGTAAGTTTACCTGTTAAGACTGTTGATATTGTATTAGTAGTGTATTAGTTCACATAATCATTTATGAAGAAGTATTTTTGTTTTAAACCGATTAGATGTTTTTCCACAATTCTGCCATATGACAACGATTATCAGATTCCCACCATTCTTCAATAATTGTATTTTATCATGTCAATGCATGTTTTTCTTTTGCGTTATGAACTCTAGCTGAACTGAGATGTGTTGTTTGATTTCTATAAAGCGGTGTATTAGTTTTATGCCGCAACTTTGTTCAATGTCTACTGCAAACAGCTGTATTATATGCAACTTGCACTAAAAGCTTCGACAGTTGTTTATTTCTGAAAAATGCCTAATGATTGTCATGTGCGTGGCGTTTTATTTGATTCTTGTTGTTATACGGGCTCTCACATCTGCCGTCAGAAACCGTGTTTTGCAGTTTCATATGATGAATGGGAAATAGAACTGATTGTACATCATATATGAGGTATATATTACAAAATGCCCGCATTTATACAGCGAGTATTTATTTAGCCTAGTGCAGAACAATAGTGTGAAGCGATAACCAGGAAGTGCGTTTAACGCGTCTGTTATTCAGTGTGCAGAGAGTGTATACACGGAACAGCTGAGCTCTGTATGCATGATGAAGGAGGGGAGAGGGGTACACAACACAGGCGGAGGCACTGATGATGAGGATGCCTGTCCAGTTCAGACCAGTTTTAGGGCTGCTTGTTTTCCGCAGGATACTGCTTATCACAAATGAGACTCCGCGCGCAAATAGATCCAACCATGAAACGACCAATTTCCAATGTTTATTATGAAGCTTAAATGAACATATAAAACAGTTTGAGCAAGATTTCTATTTGCATCCCACAAACCGCTTCGCTTATGCAAAGCAAACAGAATCGAATCGTATAATTACGACGTAATGTCACGTCCCCTGTGGTTAAATAGATTTTGCACAAAGATATTAATAACGCAAAGCGATCAAATCGCGCCGCACTGGTTCGAACCGGCTGGCTCTTGGTCTCACGTGGAGCTGCTCTCTGAATCTGTTTACACGTAGACAATAAGGGGAGAAGCGAGCGTTCGAACAGCCAATCAGAGAATAGCAGGGCGGGACTAGAGGCGGGCAAGTAGGCAGGGTTTCAATCAACAACATTCTCTTTTGGAACTCAGCTGTTATTTTGTTTATGAGCTGTTTTGTAGCTAGGCGAGACAAAGAAACGGGATATAAATGATGTTCGGAGGGAGTTGGGGTTATGACAAATTGGCAACAAATGAACATTTACTATATGCTGTGAAAAACAATGTTGTGAAATCGTTGGGAGAATAAAAAAAATAAAAATGTAAAATGTGTCATTATACATGTATTTAATATGTAAATTTTTTATAATTTAATAATATTATTTAATATTTACCATTAAATATCTAATATTGTCACTTTCACAGGATTTCCCTGAAGTTTAGGGGGTTTTCCTCTGTATTACCAGCACATACTCTATCATCTCCTTCAGTCATGGCTCCTTCACTGGCCACAGCCTTCTCTAGGCGATGGTGGATGGCGATTACTGTGGTGATCGAAAATCTGTTGTTCTCAGCTGTTCTGCTCGGATGGGGCTCACTGTTCATTATGCTAAAATCAGAGGGATTTTACTCCTACCTCTGCAGAGAACCAGGTAAGGAGGGGGAGAAAAGGGTGCACTCAGTGCAGGTTGTGTTATAGAAACAAACAGAAATTTATTGACACTCATAAAGACATTAAATGCACTATTCACTATAGATGCCAGACTGAATGCTGCAAATAATTACGTGAGCATCAAAGGAAAATCTTACATATATACAATGTTAATTGTTGTAAAGTTTTTGTGTCCCTAAGCTGCACCCTCAAAGCAATGCCACACCCCCCTTGGCCTGTTCAGTTCCGTTAGCCCCAAGCTCCACCCACCCAATCTCAAGCCAATTAGAGCCATCTCACAGACTTTATTAGCTGCACCTGTGTCCACAGCCTACGCTTTGTTGCATGTGGTTGTACTGTGCAGAGGACTGAGTTTTACTCCTTTCATTCTGTTTTTCCTGCGTGTGCGTAATTGACCAT